GTATATAGTAAGTAGTAGTCGTACGTACTACTAGTAATAATTTACTATATAATAAATAATATATATATATATATATATATATATATATATATATATATATACATTTAAATTTATTCAAAATACTACTTGTACGAAAATGCCTTCTTGTACTAGCTACCTATGTTGGGGTACTAGACTCCTTTAGACACGCATGCACCCAAACTTAAATGCTTATTCACATTTATGAAATAGCTATACCTACTATTAGCTATATTCGCATTTGTGAATTAGTCCATCTTACTTATAAAACATCTTATCACAAATGTTGTAGGCTCTTAACCCATTATCTCTTTTCTAACCAGCTTACACATAAGCATCCCGAACCACGAAGTAGAGAGCAATAATGTTAATGTCTCCCATATGAATTAACATTAAAAAAAAAAAAAGGCAAAAAGAAAATAGAAGAAAAAACAAACTTAACATATGAACCGAGCCCATTGTGTTAAACCTACATTCATATGACTTCTCATCTCTTATTTTCCCTAGATTTGGGCTCAGTGCCTGTTACTCGCCTGTTGTCGATTTGAGTTCTTGATCGATCCAAGTTTTTTAGTACAAACTTGGGTAAAATAAAAAATTTATGAAAAACATATAAAAATTTATGTTGTATAAAATCAATGTATAAATGATTCATATATAATTTTGTTGTTTTAGATGACAATTTGTAAGTTTTCTTGTCATATGCTCTATTTCTATTTGTTTATTTTTAGACTCTTTTGAAATGCTTCGAGATATAAATCCCTTTTTTTTTAATCTATTTTTTTAATAGATTTTTCATCTTATTTGGACTTCTAATTTTATTCACAATTTGTTTCTTACTCTTTATTTCATAATTTTAACAATTTTCTTGTAATGTTTTGAAATTATAGCCTATATATGGGCTTATGCTCTACACTAGCGAGTCAACTTTGACTCGCCCAAGTCACTCGGGTCAGTATGGCCCAAATCGCGAGCCCAAGCGGAGTAAATGATCTTTGCTCTAGACAATTTTTCCTTTGTTGGATATTGTGCGTATGTAGGTATGTTCACATATGTGCATGTCCCTTCGTGGAAGCTGGTTGGACTTGGAAAATGGTTATGTATAATAAGAGCATCCATAAAAGGGTGCGGTTTCTATAAGGTTACACCTTTAAACAATCCAATTCAGGCGCACCTCTAAATTTTATCAATTTTGTCATAACATATAATTTTGTTCTAAAAGATTTCTAGGATTATCTTAAAACCTATTTTCATATCTAATTAGATAATTTTAATCTCCAAAAATGGTTAAAATCAAGTAGATCTATAAACATATGAAAATCATAAAACTTGACGGTCTAGATAATGAGTTGCAAGATGCACTATTTTTGGGACTCAATTTTTTTTTTTTTATATTCATACATCTCGATATCGAGATGATCAATTAGAGAGTTTTTCAACAATTAAACCACCTTTCCGATAGATTTTTGAGGTGCATATATGATTCTACATTTTAAAGTTGTAACCTTATATAATTTTTTCCAGACTTAAAATGTGTCGATTGCATTAGATGTTTTAAAATCAGTTGGGCTGGATCAAGAATTGGTCTAGGCCGACCTCATGCCTTGTTGAACAGGGAATTGGGCGGGATCCAATAAACTTGCCTAGTTCCCAATTGATCCGGATTAGAATGCTCCGTTGCTACACATTATATTTGTTATTTTTTACCCTTTTTTGTTTTTTTTCCAAAGTTTTAATTTTTATGGATTGATTATTACATCGGAGCAGGGATTGGATTCGCAGATCTGGATTGACAATATTTCAATCAAGACCATTCTTAATTTTTTTTTTTTTTAGGTTTTTCTAACGTCTTTTTAGATCTCCCCCAAACCCCTATTTTAATTTTTAATTATTTTAAATATTTTTTGGGTTACCAGTTTGTACCCATCCATACCGGCAATCCAATACAGACCCGTAAAGTGGAAGATCCACTGCACGAGTAAGGGTCTTGAAACATTGGTTAGTTGAGATGCACTTATCGATTTCATGACGTTTTGAAAGTCACTTGAATGCAAAAATTCCTTCTTGCGCTTTTTTATATCCTGGTCTAAGTTTTGATCCAAATAAAATAAAACTTATTTGTCTACATTTGGTTCAGCTTGCAAATAGATTCAGACCAACAATCCGTAAAATTGTTTAATTTTTAAGAATTTTCCAGGGTAATTGACATTCAAGAATAAATTAACGTTGCTACAGGCATACATCTTGCAAATTCAATAATATAAGATGGAAATACAAAAACCGTGTTATTGTTGTAAATTCCTGAATGCAAATTATGTTGTTCATGATGCTGATAAGGTAGGTGGTGATGATATTTTTGAAACTATGAATACTTGATCGATTACCATTTCATAAAGTTTGTAACAGTTTATGTCAAAAAAAGAAAAAAAAACAACAAAAAGAACAGAAAAAAAAAACAGAGAGAGAGATGAGCTTCAACTTACAGATCTCCCATATTCTCAGTCTCCCAACCAGACATCTCTCCAACATCTCTCAGTGCCTTCCTCCATGCCTCCGGAATATCTCTGTTGTATCGCTTCTCATGCTTCAAAAATGACGTCTCAAATGTTCCCTTTTGCTCTCGAACATCTTCGCGATGGACTCCGTAGAACACAGGCAGAATCACGCGCTTTGTTTGGAAAATTTGCACTAGTTCGCTCAGGCACCACCTAGAGGACGCATAATCAGCAGAAAACACAGGAATGAACATTTGCGAACCCTCGATTGCCTTGTCGAGGCTTGGTCCAATTCTCTCTCCTTTCTCTAGCTTCTCATCATCCAAGAAAACACAGATACCTTCCTTAACCAGGCTTCTGTGGAGATGGGCGGTGAACTTCATTCGAGTGTCCGCACCCCTGAAGCTCAGGAAAACATCGAATTGATAACCATACACAGGATGATGGTGAACATCTGTGTGCATCTCTTGTTCCATTAGAGGTTCCCTACAGTTTCTTCACTTTGCAATATATATATAAGGAATTCTCCTGAGATTTCTTCCGGTTTTGTCTCCAAATTGTGTGTAAGAGAAGGTAAACCGACAATGCAAAAGTCGGTTCATCTCTTCTTCCATTAATAGTTCTAGAGTTTCCTCAACTTATAATCTTTCGAAGAATTCCACTGAAATTTTCCTTCTGGTTTTGGTAAAACAAAGGCGTTTGACAGAAAAAGGAATTCTTCGAAAATTTGTAAATGTAGCAAAGCGATAAGATGGTTCCTAAATGTAAGGAAGTAAGCAGTGGATTGGAAGTTGTGAAGAGGGTATAATATCTCCTTCCTTACTTTGATATTTTTGGATGTATGATCACGCTTGTACGTAACAAGTTGCGTTATTTTTGGCTTAATTACTATACTACCCTCAAGTTCAATTAAAATGACAAAGCACCACCAAGGAGTAAAGCCTAGGATCCTTGTGCCTCTCTATAGGGGTAGCATCAGGTTGGGTATGGGTCGGGTCCGGCTGGATCTAGACCTAGACTCGAATGTATTCGGATTAAGGTTTTGGATTTCGACTCAACCCGTTGGATCCAAAAGTTTGATGCATATCCCTACCCATCGGGTCTCGAGTCGGTCGGGTTCATTGCCACCCTCATTATTGGCTTCCTTTTTCTTTTCTTTTTTTGCCATTTCTTTACCTTCATATATTCAAATTATTGGCATCAAGGTCACAACCCTCTATTAGATTTCATGTTGCCTTATTTGTTGGTCAATAGCTAAAGATGATTATAAATTCTTGTTATAGAACAAATAGAGCTTGAAGTATTTTATCTCCAAGAATTTAAAGATACGGGTCGGTTCCAACCGAACCAAGACCTAGACCCGAATAGTGTTTGGGTCCAGATTTGAGACCCGAACCCGACCTGTTGTGTTCAAATGTTGGACCCATACCTAGATTTATTCGAGTATATCTGACGGATCCAAAGCCAGGTCCCGATCCATTGCGATCCCTACCACTCTGTGCTTGGTTGGCCAACTCTGCCTTTGTAGGGAGAGGATACCCGTTATGAGAAAATTGAGTAATTTAAATACTTAAAAAATTAGTGAAAGATGTTTATATATATACCTCTATATATTGGGATTGAAAATAAGACAAGCTACAAGGAAACCTGTTGTTTGAGAGGTTATCAGTTACTGTATTGAGTAAATGTCGTGGAAAATATTTTATATCTGATTTGAGAGGTAGCCTGCTGTGATAATATCTGCGATGAGGTAACTTAATGGAGGAAAATTTTATTTTCTGAACATAGGCTATTAATTTGGCGGACCTAGGCTTTCAAGAATTCAAAATCAATTTTTTTTTTTTATAAAATATTTATATCTTATTTTTAAATATGTGCATAATTACCGCCTAAGAGAAATATCTTCTAGCTATGCGTTTTCCATAACGAAAACTTCTATTATATCCATAAAGAAGTTCACAATTCCTCTAACCCTAAAATTTATAATGGGGTAATTTAGAATGTCTCACAAAGTTTGAGTAAAAATTTATTAAACTTTGAGTACATCGGCACATTGGATTCTCCCATTTCACATTTAATGGCTGCAGATGTTCATGACCTTACATAAGAGAGATAATATTCTTTACCCGTACCAACCTAACTTCTATCATGTGACATGATATGCATTTGCTTTTATATCCCTTATATCTATTATTAAAGGTTGCGGTTTGCGTAGAACCAGGGCTCTAAACAATCAAATTAGATCCCACCTATAGATAGTTTAAAAAAATATAGTTTTATTATTGGAAATTCATGTGATAGCCTCAAATTATATTTTCATCTTTAGTTATATATTTAAAGCATAAAAAATAGTGTAAATCAAGCATATTCATGAAAACTTGAAAATCTTGAAAATTGACGGTCGAAAAATACGTCACAAGATGCACTATTTTCAAAACTTAAAATCCATTTTTTTTCTCATGTCCATCCATTTTGATGTCAACCAATTTGATGTCTAGATGATCAATCTGAAGATATTTGGACATCAAAAAAAGTTTTGAAGTAGTCTTTAATTGGATTGTTTAGAACCAAATCTCTACATAAAGTTTGCCCTTTTTTAAATGCACATAAAAATTCTGGCAAGAAAGAGACAGGACTGATCTAAGCGTTCGTCATGCTATTTAATTAATGGAATAATTCAAGAAGTCTACCGCTACTTTTGTGAAGTCAAGCACCAGTGGGTGGAGGCATTCTTTATTATTATTTACTATTTTTAAGAGGAAGCATCTAAGCAGCTTCTCGTTGTTGACTTTTTGATTTTTCACCTTCATTTCCTTATTTTTGTGCTTTTTTTTGTTAATTACAAAATGTGCCCACTATTAGGATCCGGATCTGGATCCGATGTAGACTATTCTGTGTAATTTAATGATCCTTCTTTAGGGAGATGAACCGTTGAAGGCAGCATCTTAACGATTGGACAACGGAAAAGAGTAAGAGAAAAACTTTTAAAAACAAAAAGAGCACAAACAAACAATGAAGTTTCTAGAGGGCCCTCTTGCATGTGCTTCCCGGTACTAGAAAATGACTATGCTTCTTTTTCTTTTAAGATTAGTGAGGAAATAGTGATTTTTCACCCCAACTTAGAGTTGCCACAAGAAGAGTGACCCAAATTCCACATCCCAATTCACCATTTTTGCCTTTATAAAAAGGCGGTGGATGATGTCGGTGGCCACAAAAGTTTTTGGTGTTTGGATCTTTTTGTTTTTTTCTTTTGGTGAGGTTTGTACAAGGTATCAACCTTATACTATTGAAGTAAAGTGAGCCTCAAAACTGCATTAAAAATGCAGTTTCGGTGCTGTATTGCAAAGATATGAAAATCTATCGTTGCCTTTGAGTTATAAAGCTCCAGACACGATGACAATCAAGCAGATCTATAAATATTTGAAAATCTTGAAAATAGACGGTCCAAATAATGTATTAAAAGATGAACTATTTTTAAGACTAGAAAATCCATCGAGGTCAGGATGATCGATTTGAGGGTCTTCCAACATAGGAACAACCTTCACTAGTAGGTTTCTTAGGTATACCTTACCCGTATAGTATAAGATCAATACCTTATATATACTTTTTTCTTTAGGCCCGGTTTGGATAGGAGGAAATTAAGAATCTTAGATAGTGAAATCCTAAAAAAATCTATGGATTTTCAATATAAAGGATTTTTGTCATGGATTCCTTGTAATGACTTCCATGTCCATTGTTTGGTAAGAAAACTTGATACAATTTCTCTCCCTCTAAAATTTTTATATGCTTTCTCTGTCTAACACTCAAAATTTGAGATAGTGTATTTATAAAAATTTTGAGATAGTTTCTCTATCTAGAATTTGATATGGTTTTTCGCTCTAAAATTTGATATGGCAACCCACCAGCACTGGATATCACATCCTCTGATGGCTCCATGTATTTCCTTACTGGTTCATCCATCCCAAATGCATACCTACTGAAAAGTTTACGGGATTGAGTGTGATCCAATACTTTAAGCTCTTCTTGTCTATCTTATACACATTCAATACATGTTCATTTCTGGTGGTGACGACAATCCTACTTCCAGGACAGTACCATTCCCGTTTACCAACCAATTTCTCGAGTTGTTTCTCATGATCAGCATCATCCAATATCATAAGAACTCTCTTGGACCGAATCCTATTCCGGATAACATTAATACATCTATCAACATCATTTATGTTTGGATTTTCTTCATTAAAAATATCACGGAGAAGTAACTTTTGCAGGGAAAGAAGTCCATGAAGAGATTGAGAGCCGTCACGGGTATATGGTTGTGAAGCTCCTCTGATGTCCATGTCCGGGAGGAAGCAAAGTTTATATAAGGTTGCAACTTTAAAATATATAACTACATATGCACCTCAAAAATCTATCAGAAAATATTGTTTTAATATTAAAAAACCATCTAATTGATCATCTCGACAATGAGATGTATGAATATGGAAAAAAATAGATTTTGTATCCCATAAATAGTGCATCTTCGAACACATTATCTAGACCGTCCATTTTTAAAAAATTTATATGTTTATAGATCTACTAGATTTTAACCATTTTTTGAGTTTAAAATTTTATAATTAGATATGAAAATAGATTTTTGAGATAATCCAAAGAATTATTTATTCCAAAATTATATGTTAAACTCTCAAGATTGAACCAAGGATATCCAATTGTTGAAGGAAGAGATCCAAGTGTCAAAATCCTTGTATTTTTATTTTTTTTCTTTTTTGAAAATAGGGAAAAAAGAGTCTTATCCCCTATTTAGTAAACTTTCATCCCGAGTTCTTTTAATAATAGGGCATTAGACCCCTCCCTTATATTTTAGCGGTCCATATTACAAGTTCAACTTTTATTTTATTACTAATCCATTTCCCTATAAACATCCACAACGACATCATCATCATCAAAGCCTTTTTTCAACTAATTGGGAACGACTGCATGAATTTTGGGCTACCATTCTATTCCGTTAAATGTCGTACCATTAGTGAGGCCATAAGTCCCCACATAATTTCTCACTGTTTTCAATCTTGTCTTTTTGGACCTACCCCTGCTTTTTTTTAGCTTTCTATTCAAACTAACTCCTAATAGGTATTTTATTGGGTTTGCACCACACATGGCTGACCCACCTAAGTCTACTCTCTTGTATCTTATCACTCGTTGGTACTACACAAAATTATTTCAAATGTATTCATTTCAAATTATATCCTTTCTTGTTTTGTCATTCAACCATCTCAACATCCTCATCTCCGCTACACTCATTGTATGAGTATATTGTTTTTTGGCTGTCAACATTCCATCTTATATAGCAAAGTTGGTCTCACAACTATCCTATAGAACTTGCCCTTCAACTTTATTGGTATGTGGCGATCATATAAAATTTCGGTTACACATCTCCACTTCGCTCATCTAGCTCTAATTCTATGTGCGACATAGTGCTTAATATCTCCATTTTCCTGGATTATCAACCCAAGATATGGAAAGTGTAGTATTTTGGGTATTTTCTAGTCCTTAATCTTAACTAATTCCTCATCTCTACTTCTATTATTACTAAACTTGCATTCCATATACTTTATTTTATTCCAACTAATTTTAACACCTTTAGTTTCTAAAGCATCTCTCCAAAATTCAAACTTCGATTGATGTCATCTCAGGTCTCATTAATAAAAAATGTATCATCCGCGAACAACATGCACCACAGTACCTTATCTTGTAGGTGTCTAGTTAAGTCGTCCATAATTAAGATAAAGATGTATGAACTTAAAATGCTAACCCCTAATGTAAACCTATTGTCATTGAAAACTCACTTGTCTCTCGACTAGTTGTTCGTATACTAGTTAGCATTCTATCGTATATATTTCTTACAAAGTCGATGTAGTATCTAGAGACTCATTTCTTTTCCAACACCCACCAAATCAAATCTTGAGGTACTTTATAATAAGCTCTCTCTAGATCAATAAAAATCATATGGAGGTCTTTTCCCTAAACTTCTCAATCAATTTCTTAAGTGAAAAAATAGCTTCGGTTGTTGACCTCCCTAGCATAAAACCGAATTGATTTCCTGATACACTTGTTTTATGCATTAGTCATGGCTCAATCAATTTCTCTTAAAGCTTTATAATGTGGCTTATCATTTTGATCCTTTGATAGTTTACACAATTTTGTATGCCTCATTTGTTCCTGTAAATAGGCACCACAATATTTTTCATCTATTTGTCAGATATTTTATTTATTTTTAACACCTTGTTGAACAACTTGATCAGCTAGTTAATACCAATCTCCCTACCATCGTTTTGTTGACCTCTGCATCCTTCATTGAAACCCTTTGATGTTCACTCATATCGCATTTAATATATAGTCTAGATCCATGGTCTTTTCCTCTCTCAAACATCCACAACCCCATGACCCGTTGAAACCCCTCTCCTTTTCCTTCTACCACGACCTTTTCTCTCCCTATCTCTACCTACCCCTTCTCTCCATTCAAGAAGAGAGAGAGCTAGACGAATGGGGTAAGGAGAGTAATGAGGTAGGGGTAGAGAACGTGGCGGAGAGAAGGGTTTCAACGGGGCATAGATTTTGAACATGGGTTAAAGGCAGAAATAGAACATTATATAAAAAAACTTGAAATTTTGGAAATGGACAGATTAAATAAATACTGTGCTATAGTTTTTCAACATCAAAACCATTTTTTAGAGTGGATTTTTATGGTGTACCAAACTTTTATATAATAAAAATTGCCGCTTACATAAACTTTTTCCTTAAATGTTGAGAGAGAAGGGGTAAGACGTATGATGCAATAAATTCAAGAAGTCATGGGATTAGATGGTGACATGAAGCTTGAAAGGGGTTGAGGTGTAAGAGAAAGATATTGAAGAGGGTTTTGAAAGTGAATAGAGGTTTCGCATAGAGTAGTAAAGAATGACAGTAAGAAATAGAGAAGCCTAAAATACATTTGGATAAAAGTTCTTTTTTTGCCCCAATTTTTTTAAGAAGCGAAGAAGAAGAAGAAGAATCTCTTGAAATGGTCATATATTTATGGCAATGGCAATGGCAATGGCTCGGTTTTGTATAAAAGAATGAAGAATCTCTTGAAATGGTCGTATATTTATGGCAATGGCGCTCTTTTTGTGTAAAAGAATGAACACAATGACAACAACAACAAACTAAGAAGTGTCATAGCCCCTAGTATCTTCCAAATATCCACCTTCAAACCATATGAATAGCTTTTATCCACAAAACATTCGTGGACCATTAATCCATTTTCATCGCTTCTTTCAATATCTCTTCCCACTCATCCATGTTTTTTGTGTTGATCAACTGGTTGCTAAATTTCTTAATAACTTCAGGTATCCCTCGGGCGGCCGAAGCTATACCTTCAGAGATATCAGCAAAACCTTCTCCTGGTTCCTCTGTCCCAAATACATGTTGACAAAACAGTGAGAGAGATTGCGCCGCATCCAACTCTTTCACCTTATAAATCTCATTCTCTACATTCAACAATTCCTTTTTTCTAGAAGTGATTATAATCCTACTCCCACGATGGAGCCATTCTTTCTTGCAAGCCAATGCCTTGATTTGATCTCTACTCTCGGCACCATCTAAAATCACTAACACTTTCTTATCTTTTATTCTCTCTCTGATCAATGTGACTCCACTGCCTACGTTTGCCACCTGCATTTTCTCATTCTTTGTGATCTCGCGCAAAAGTTGGTTTTGCAGTTGAATTATGGGTGTTGATTTCCTGATGTCTAGGATGATAGAAGTGGCGTCAAAGAAATTGACGATGCGATTGTAGACGGCCTTAACAATGGTGGTCTTCCCGATCCCCTCTGGCCCAAGGATCCCGACTATTCGTGCTCCAGTATCTCTTGATTTAAGCATTTGCACTATGTCCTCAGCTTGTGAATCTACTCCAACCGGGTATTCGGCCACATGATAGGGTACGTGATTGAGCTCAACTTTAACCCTCTTGACAATCTTATCGATCCTGGCCGCTTCATTCCTGCATAAAAGAAAAGCATGCATTTGTTAGAAGGGCCATTCTTGTTTGCCAAGCAAATCATGCCATTTGCATTTGATTATGAATAAGGTTTCATTGAGTCCACCGAGTCATCCATTTATGTGAGTCCTCACACCAAAATTCATCTTAGAGATGGATTTCAGATCCAAAAATCTTGAGATTTCACCATGGTGAATGTGAGTATAAAAAAATAATAATTATATAATGTTTTTCCTTTTTTTTAACATCCTCCATTTTAAGTTTTGGTGGGAACAACACATTTCTACATCCATATTGAAGATGGATGTTTGACGACAAAGGTGCTTATCTGGAACTATGTCGCCTCATATCAAATGCAATAAACTATAACCATTTTTTAATTCGATAATTAGAAAGAAAAGCATAATTAAGCCTATAATCAGGCGTAAGAGGCACAAATAGAAAGGCTAATCAGCTGAAAGCACTTAAATGAAAATATAAGAATCAGACGCCAAATCATATTTGATAAAATGAAAGTAGACGAATTTGTCTGTTCTTATTCTTCTTCCCTTTTTCTTTTGGTTGAAAGATATCATGTATCTTTTATTAGAAAAATAGGTGACTATGGATGAGCTAAATACAAAACAAAGTAGCAATCAAGAGAGTAGGGAATCTATGAACAACTGGATGCCTAGAGCTAATGCATCTGCTTCTTCATTGACCTCTCCATACACATGTATAAAGGACACCTCCGGCCTAATGAAAGTATCCTGAATATGAAACCCTTGATATCACAAATTTCACGTTGTGGTTTCCATTCTCACCACTAATACTACTCTACTAATTCCTTCAAAAAGGCTAACTCCTAATCTACTTGAAAAACGGATAGGGGCCTCACTTTCCCACTAAATTACCCAAAAAAAAAAAATATTGTAACAAGAAGAAAGTAATTTTTAACAACCATAATAGCATGCTGCAACCATAACAAAATATCAGGTTATAACAACACAGAGTTATGTGCCGAGGCTAAAGTATTAATAGCGTTCTAGCAGGCAAAACATTTCTAGCTCAAACCTATTTCTTTGGCTATGTATTTGATTTTGGGGGCATAATTGTGATTTCAACCTCTGTTTTAGTTATTCTTTGTTGCTTCCATCTAAGAAATGCAAACCATCGACTAGAAGATAATAACGGGACAGATAAAGGAAATGCAACACTTTAAGCAAATAAGGCATTTAGAGCAATAAAATTGACTTTTATGGAGTAATGAAAGTTATAATATATCTAAAGAACTGTAGTAGAAAGCCAAACTAAGCCACCACATAATTCTTTATATTGACTTTTTCTCGTGTTTATTTATTTATTTATTTATTTTGATGTGTTTTTACAAACTCAATGTAAAGAATTATGTTCCTATTAGAGAAAGAATAAACTAGCGATAAATATTTTTTATGCTAGGCTTGGAGATGACTAAGAATGGTTGTCTTTTATAGGGTTCTCACCAAATATTGGATTTCGATAAAAATATTGGCACAAAATTGGCAACAATTCGATTTGATGTAATTTATTCACTAAGTTGTCATTTGTGAAGCAAGGAACAAAAGTAACTAGCCTGGGCCAGGTCTTTATGGGGCAAGCTCGGGCTCGGACTGGGCCAAAGGTCCCCTGGCCCAAGCCTAATCATGACTTTTTTCAGGTCGAATATAATGAAAATAAAAGAAAAATAAAGGGGGAAAAAGAGCTGGGACGGACCGTGCAGAGAGGTGGTGAAGTAAAGAAATTTGAGCCTTTTTATCTTGATTGATGTTCAATACATTTAGGAACAATTGATTGAATAAATTTTTTCCCAGTCATTATCAGCCAGCATGAAAGCCTTCCAGTCCCTCATCAGTAGCATCAAATTCCTCTTAATCCCCAAAATCATTTTCTCTTGAATCTATGTCAATTTCTTACTTAATTTCCTTATTAAGGCTTTAGGAAGCCTCTTAATATATGCAAAAACTCCAAAACTTGATGGGTTGATGTTTAGTAAAGAGCAAGAAAAAAATGTCCATAAGAAAGCAAAAGCAAATAACAAGCACAATTAAAAATTGCAAATCAAGAAAAAAATGAATAGAAAGGTTTTTACTTATTTATTCATAGATCTGAGTACTACTTATTTCTTCATAGATGTGAGTACATCTATGCACAAAGATAGATGACAATCTTTTTATTATGCAAAAAAAAAAAAATGCAACATCACTCTTACCTGAGAGAACTAGATAGCACAAGCTCAATCTCTTAATTAGCCTCTCTTTGCACTTATTCTCTCTACACCTTGAGTCTCTCTACACCTTATTTAACCCTTTTTCTCTACAATAGTAGCTATTTATAGAGAGAAAAAATATCCCAAAAAGAGACTCACGCAAGGGCCATCTCTGTTTTCCTATCTAAAATATAAATAAATCTATCACCATCCTACTTTTTAATAAGTCAAAAGTAAGATATCGATTACCTAAAAGTTAAGATTCCAATTCCACAAAATTGGGAAGCTGTTTCATAAAACTTAGGATTCGGACTCACGTATGGGTCTTCTCTGTTTTCCTATCAAAAATATAAATGCATCTATCACCATCCAACTTTTTAATAAGTCAAATATATAAAATATCGATTATCTAAAAGTTAAGATTCCAATTCCACAAAATTGGGAAGTTGTTCAACAAATCTTAGGATTCACTTGAAGACCTAAATCAACCCCAAGAAAATAGGAAACCAAGAACATACTAATGTAGGATGCTTTATTAGGGTACAAGACATTCCAGCGAGTATTTAGCGTGGCTTGAATTCCAAAAGAGATCTTTATCAACCCTCTGCCGCACAAGCTCCCACCTTGGCAACACATTAAACAAATCTAAGCACAATTTGAACTTCTACTATATTCTTCTTGGTGTTGGTCCGTAACAAAGCATCACCATCAGTTATTCTCGCACTAAAATGACACCTGACATCAATATATTTCATCCTTGTGTAATAGATCATGTTCTTCTTCATCACCCTCTGATTATCACATTAGAAGTTCCGTCTTGTTGTAGCCTAGATTACTTACATGCCCTCTAAGCCAATTGACTTATTTCAGTACTTCTATAATACTATGTATTCTACTTCCATCGTAAACCAGGCAACTAGGACATGTAGTATTGACCTCCAACTGATCAAAGTTCTTATACGTGTAAATACATAACATGTAGTAGATTATCTACAATCTAAATTACCAACAAAATCAACATCAGTAGCAAAAATACCTTGTCTCGAACTTGTTGCTACTATTAAAATACCAAATTCACATCTAACATAAATGCAATATTCATTTCACCATATGCCAATGCTCCTTTTCGGGATTAGTCATATACTTACTAACAACACTAACGACATGCAAAATATCTACACTAGTGTAAAGTATCTCGCATACATGAGGCTTCTAATTGCACTTACATAGGGAACACGAACACATAGTCCTCTTCGGTGTCTATACACGGAGATAATGTTGCCAATAATGTGAAATGTTTAATAAGATAACTTATAAATATTGAATTTTCCATCCTAAATCAGACGACCTTCTCAATGTAATTCTTCTGAGATAGTCACAATTTTCCAAACTTTCTTTCTCTACATAGTTCCAAGGCAAAAAATTTCTTGATCAAACCGAATCTTTTATCTCAAATTCTCAACCAAGCCGAGTCATGCCATAAAATTTTGAAGAACCCTTTGCAACAATAAACATATCATCCATATAGAGCAATAAATCGATAAATAAACCATCAATAAAATCTCTTAAAATAGACATAATTATCAGACTGACTTTTAAAATGCACGACCAGAGTTTTATCGAATCCCAATGAAGCTGAAGGGAAAGTTCTATAGGATAGTTGTGGGTCCAACGTCTCTTTATATGACAAAATATTGGGCGGTCAAAAAACAATATGCCTATGGAATGAGTATAACTAAGATGAGGATGTTGAGAAGGATAAGCAACAAGACATGAAGGGATAGAATTCAAATGAATATATTCAAAAGAATTTAGATGTGGCTCTAATAGGCAATAAGATAAGAGATATTTGAGCAATAAGATAAGAGAAAGTAGACTTAGGTAGGTTAGCCGTGTGTGGCATAAACCCAGTACACTTGTTAGGAGTTCAGAGTTAGTTCTGAAAAGCTCAAAAAAGGTAAGAGGTAGGTCAAAAAGGACATGGTTGAAAGTAGTGAGAAAAGATAAGGGTACTTATGGCCTCAGTAAGGGTACTTATGGCCTCAGTACGGGTATGACTCTTACTAGAGCAGAATAGCGGGCTAAGATTGGTGTAGCCATCCGCAATTAGTTGGTAAAAGGCTTTGTTGATGATGATAAGGACCATACTTATGTCTGACATACTGGTGTCTAGTCATGAAAGTATCAAAACGTTTGTACCATTGCTTAAGAGATTGTTTAGCCGATACAATGACTTCCTCATTTTACAGATATGATCCTATCTTTTCCTTTGAGCACAAACTCTTCAAGGTGTGTCATATAAATTTTTTCCTCCAATTCTCCATGCAAGAACACAGTCTTAACATCAAGTTGGTCCAACTCCAAATCAAATAATGCAACCATAGCTAATAATACCAAAATAGACTTGTACTTCACAATCAAAGAGAAGATCCTATTGTAGCCAATACCTTCCCTCTGCGTATAGCCTTTCGCAACAATTGTGCCTTGAACCAATCACCACCAAACACAATTGAGTCTTATTTCTTCTTATAAACTCATTTACATCCAATGGCTCTTTTACTTTTGGGCAACTTCAAGAAATCCCAAGTATGACTTTTCTGAAGAGACTCCAACTCTTGATTTACAACATCACCCCCACCTAATACTGTTAACATTTTATGTGCCTTACCCAAAAGTGGATGGATCTTGGTTTATAACAATTAATGTATAAGTTATCGAGTCATCAAAACTGTACCACATCTACTCTCTTATTGGATCTCTTTCCCTTTCTAATCGGAGG